GGCTATGCGCATGTGTCAACGCGGCGCATGCGCAGAAAGTTTTTAGCTTTGAGGTCCGAATTAACGACTTTTGACTGTATATGGATTTACATTCCTTAAAGCTGGATCCTATTGTGTCAGCAATTCGGCATTCACAGCAACATTTCCAAGTATATTCATTCTCTGCCTAAGGTCATGATCTGAATCTAAAATATATAACTGGCATATTTTTCTTAACCAAGATGAGTTGGACGGAAGTAGTTTGCTTGATGTTATATGGCACCAGGAATTCTGAAATTAGGGAGCTGAATCTATAGGCATTTCTGTATTAGCACCCATGGAAGCAAAACTAAGAAGAAAATTATAAATATGCATGCTAGCAAAAAAATCTCGAGAAAATAGTGGTTCCCATTCATTAAATTATGCCATTCTTTTGCATATCTTTGTTTCTATAGTTTTCCCATTGTAGAGAAGTAGACATATCTTCCTCTTGGGTTCCTTTCTATTGGAAAGAAGAGTCCACTGCAGAGATCACAGCAAGCTTCCATTGAACTGACACTCTGTTGCTCAACCTAAACTTTGAGTCCACATCTTCCTGCATTGTGTAGAGTGCTAGGTGACTATTGTGCTGTATTCATGCTGTGTCTTCTTGTATAGCTATTGTTTCTTCAGATTGGATGGACAGTGTCTTGTGTTCTTCATGTAGTGTTATCCTGTTCTGACTCTTTCACTTGAATCACTTGAATTTGATTATGATGCTGAGAGTCTTGCGTCTTTTGTCTTTGCAACTTCTTCTATCTCTTCATCATGCATATTCTGTTTATATGCCTCCAACTCCTTTCTGCTTCTATGTCTTGAGAAAAAAAAAAAAAAAAAAAAAAATTTTTTTTTTTTTTGCTTTTCTGCTGAGCTTTCTATTCGTTTCTGCTTCAGTTTCTTGAGCACACAACACTTTTTGAATGTCTGCCTAGCCTCCTATTGGGTTCTTCTTCAGTTTCTCGAGCGCATAAATTTTTTTGTCGATGTACTTGCCTTCTGAGTCTCCTCATCCTTTCTTCTTCAGTTTCTTGAGTACATAAGTTTTCTTGTTCATGTGCCTGCTGAGCGTCCTAGAGGTTTCTTCATTTCCTGTAGCTTGCCATAACCTTTGAGCATAAATTCTTTGTCTTAATGCATCCCCCGTAATGTGTCTTTTGCGTTTTGGCATTTTAGTAAATTGAAAAAAATATACTAAATTACTAACACTGTACTAAATTACTAACTCATCTAAAATACATTAAATACCTACAAAAGTTTAACCTGTACTAAAAAAGAAACTATAAATAAAAGAAATTAAACATTTGTAAATAAAATTATTAAAATGCACTAAAAAACAAAATAAAATGAACTATTAATTTAATATACTCTACACCAAGTTATGCACTACTGAAAAGAAAATGCGTAAAAAAAATTCAGTACGAATGAAATCAGTTCATTCTTTCCAAGCAAAAACCAATTTGTAAATAATTTTTTGGTTGCAAAACCAGGAAACAAAATCTTTTGTCACTTAATGTTAATACATATGATGTCATGATTTTAATGTAATATATAACAACTTTTTCTCAATATCAATAAAATAATTAATGTGTCAATAACATGTCATGTCAATTAGCCTAACCTGGAACTAAAAAGTTGTCAACAGCAGCTATTTATTTAAAATGCTGACATTAACAAAAAAACTTTCGACATACAATATCACATGAAATCACAGGGTTCGTAGCGGTCCTTACAAGTGCTTATAAGTCCTTATATTTGAAGATAAAAAATAAAAGCCCTTATAGGTGCTTACTTTGTCTCTGAAGCACTTATTTTTTTGTTTTTAGTGCTTATTTTTTGCTTTTAGTACTTTTTTTTTAATGAACGCACATTTTTTCCCTGTACCAAAGCTGAAGCTAAATAAACAACTTTTCTCCCTTATATGGATCCGCAGATGGTGAATCATACTCCCAGAAATTGCTTTTTGCCCCTTTCTTTGCATTAACGTAACCTTTGGTGTGCGCAAGTACAGACATGTGCAGGTCGTTCTATTGGTCAAAGAATTGCGAAAGCGGTAGAAATTCCGTATTCTTTTGCTCCCACCCAATACTACACACGTTTGAATTTCTATCAAGATTTTAATAATACATTCTCGTTCCACGTGGTCAGTACATATTCGCATTTATTTGATTGATTGATGGGTATGCCATTATGATTTCGTCATCACATTAAGCATATGTATGAATATTTATAATATATTTGGTAAGTAACTGCTGAGTATAGATAAACTTCAAAAATAGGTGTGTTTTAAACAGATTAGTTTTCTAAGGAATATATTCAAGAATGGCATAAATAAAGTAAAGTAGAAGTAGTCAAAAGTTTTTTTTTTTTTTTTTTTGCCAATGCATTAACAGTAGCCCAAATTGGTGTGCTCCCCTTATCCACAAAATCTCGAATATTGAAACCGTTACAGTTCACAGCAAAGCAAGCAACAGACTTTTTTTTTGGGGGGGGAGGGGTCACTTTCCAACCTGGATTGAATAGGCCTAAAAGTTCTGCGGTCTATCAATCCAAGCAAAGAATGATTCTATTCTGGAAATTTAATGCAGTCTGTCCAAAATTAGAATGAAAAACACCTCATATTGGTAAATCTTTTTATTAATCAATATAAGTGTAGTATGGATATCGTGAGGAGCGCGACGTGTTCTGCTCAATGATAAATATGCCACATGGGCGCATGACGGTCTGAGTACTGGCAGCTGTTGATTCTGATTGCGTAACAACACGTGCGAAAGAATTAAGGCTCACGTATTGCGCAATAATGTTTGCCATATTTCGCAGAGATAAAACAGTTTTACAGTGCTTGCTAAGTGGATTATTTTTCGGTTCCATTGGACGGTTTTTTTATATAATTCCCATATCGAAATGTCAAAAGCTTATTAGCTGAAAAATCTAAAAAAACAGCTACATCTACCCCTCCTCTTTTACCAGTTACACTCGACTATCCAGAATTTTCAGATATTCAGCAATTTCCAAGTATGCCGGCTAGTAAAGCTTTTACTTTTAAAGAATGATTGCATGAAGCAATTTCCCGCCTTCTGATTTCAGAAAAGTTTCTTTTTTTACTTATTTTTACTTAAATTACTTTGCTTGCAATATCTGTTACGGGAAAACTGTTATACAGTCAAAAGTCGTTATCCGGACTCGTCGGGACTTCGGCGATTCCGGATATCGATTTTTCCGGTTATAGATCATCAGTTAAATCTGAAGATGCATGCAGAAATTAAAAAAAATAAAATATGAAACCATAATTATAAATAAAGAAAATATGATCTAAAGTATCAAAATACAAAAAAAAAAAAGCTTAATATTTATTTGTTTATTTTATTAAACATTTCTTTCAATGCAAGTTGTTAATTTGCTTTGTTTTTTATGTGATAATACTCTCTTTAATTATTTAACAGACATAAATTCTTGTTCAGTTACAAAATTCCTCTGTTCAAGTCTAAAGCGTGTCGAAACCGACTATTTGTCAATTGAAATTTTTTCATTTCAATAACCTCTGTCATTTCTTCGCATTGGAAGCGAATTTATAATGACGAGCTTGATTTAAATCATATCAACGATGGAGTACATCGAGATGAAATACTACATTATAAGGAATTATAAGCCAAAAAAATAAAAAATCTGCCCTGAAGATAAAGATAGTGTGACACATCACTTCAAATCATGGCAGCGCTGTGCCTTAAGATAAACAAAGTTTAGATACAAACTTTAAAGTTTAGATAAAAAGGATATGCTTTATCCCTTTTGTATAATGAACTTCGAAACAACTTTCGCTTTGTAGTCATTTACTTAATAAATATATATCAGAAATTCTATTTAACATAATCGAAAGTTCAAGCTTACTTTTATAAAGTCACGTATAAGATGCAGGTAACATTTTTTAGACCAAATTTAGGAAAAAAAGTGCATCTTATATGCCATACATAACATACGGTAATCACTGAACAATATTCTTTTAACATTTTCAGCATGGTGCAAATTTTATATTGTTTAGATATTGTCATTTCTAATTTGTGTAAAATCATTGTTTCCATTGTATACTGAATTAGAAAATGTGAATAATTTTTCTTGTTCAAAATAATGATTTTTCGGTTTTTAAAGGTTCCTTCTCAAAACCGTAAATTCTCACCAACTTGTTTTGGAGTAGATTGGAATTTTCTTTTGTGTTTGAAATTTTGATGCGTTTCTTTGTATTTCATCTCATGAAAATCATTTTGGGGGGAGCTCTTGTTTGGTTGGTTACCTAGATCTTGTTTTTAGCCATTTGTAATAAAATAGTTTATCCCAGCTTACTGAACTGTGGATGTTGGCCTTATTTTTCGTGATGAATATACTGCATATTCGTTCAATTTTCATGTGATTCTGTAAATACTGAAGATAAATTTTATTTTCTGAACAATGTACAAGAAATAAAGAGAATTTAAACCTCTTTGATAATTCAGTCTCTAAGAAAGAAATGAAAGATTGAGAATAATACACAGATTAAAATTACTGTATGAGGAAAGAAAAAATCTAACCAATTTTGAATAAATTAAATATTCTGTAATTTATATGATCCCATTTATTTCATTCAGGCATTGTATTTAATTATTTTATTGGATAAATTTAATTTCAGAAGAAGCTCAAGAATTTTAACATATCATTAAATGCGTATTTTCTCACCAAAAAAAAAAAAAAAAAAACAAAAAAAATATTCACTTAAGATAAAACTTTTATAAAATCAAAATCAATTTAAATTGAGTTTTCATTTATTTAAAAGAGGGTACTTATTTAATATAAATATTAAATGAGCATAAGTTTTACTTTAATAAATAACTGTTAAATCAAAATAATTAAAGAATACAGTGTAGTTTTTTGTTAATTGAATGTTTTTTCATTTTTGGTGGAGAAGGGCATTATTTTTCTTTTTAATTGCACAAAATATGTATTTAATATTATAGGTTGATTTACGTTGTCAACACAACACAAGACCAAGAAGTGAAAAAGTGAGAGAAAAAGAATCTTGTAAAAATACAGATTGTCCAGCTAAGATGGGAATCACAATAAAACGTGTAGTCACTGAAAGGAAAAGCAGGTATGCTTGATTTTTAGTAAAATTTTTTAGTGTCACATTTTAAAAGCTATGACCATATATTAAAACAACAGTTATTCTTATCAGTAATTTTTGAATAATTTAACATTAGATTAGTTGCTTCTGGTAAAGATTAATAAATAAATAAATGAATTGTATTTTTTCTAAGCAAATGTCAGTTATATCACATTTTAATTGTTTTTCAGAATATAATTTAGTATTTATTATGTATTTTCATTAGTGATATTAGTGTTATTTATGTAAATCTGTATACTGTCTGTGTAATTATACAATATATACAACAGTAATTATTAATACATAAAAAACATTTATAATGAGCTGTACGCTTTAAACAGTGTTTATATTTTCTATCCATAAGTTACTTGGATATATCAAAGAGGAGCATGATTTATTTATTTGTATTTACAGGTCAAAAGATCCTCATTTACCTGATTATCCCACTGTGATTCAAATGGATTTCTGTCACAATCATGACATCTTAACACCAGAAATACTGAAACATCGAAGTGTGCTTCCTGAAGTGAAAGAAAAAATATTAGCTTTATTTCAGTTAGGCCATAATCCTGCTACTGCACTTGATATGCATAAATATGACTTGCTCTTGGAACATGGTGAGAATTTCAAATTAATTTGTCACGACAGAGCCCTTGTGCCAGATCCTCAATTTTGTTACAGGTATTAGAATTTTATTGTTGATCATTTCATTATTAGGGAACAAATAGTTTAATATGACTTTTCTAAGCACTGGTTTTTCAATTGTACCATAATATCAAATTTGAGCTTTGGATTTGATTTCTTAATTAAAATCTTCTAAAATTTATTCTCCTGACTTTTTCAAAGATTTTCTCATGCCTGACATTAGCCAAGTTTAATTTGCAAATTTTAATGTTAATATGTACAATTTATTATACTGATGACATTTTAGTTTATAGCCGTACTTACTGAAGAACCAAAAAACTGGTATACTAGCTAATACATTATTGGCCAGTATAGTTAATATACCATGAAGGAAAGCAATCAGTAGAATCAGACTTTAAAAATACTGTAATGAAATGTCCAGCTGTGGTAAGATAGCTTCCCCACAATGTGGGTTTAGGGTTTCCAGATTTGGTGCAAAATTGCCCATTTGGCAACAAAATTGGCGATATACCATACACGGATGAAGAACATTCTAGAACAAATTCTTACCAGTTTGGCCCAGAATGTTCTCGAAGACAAGCCAGAAGTTACTATATAAACCCTACCTGTACACGGAGTAGCAGTCTAGTGTTGAATTGATCGTCCACTGTATCGTGAGTTGATGCATCTGGAGTTGTAGCGTGGAGGGTCTTGAGAGTACGTTGAATTTCGAGAACAACCGAACTGAGTCTGGAGCTGTGTTCTAGAGCTTTGCCGTGAATCTGTCTTCAGCATTATAGCCTGATAACTTGAAAATTGTGTTGCTGATTGTTTCACCGTGTGTTATTTCTATAATCCATAGTTCTATTTGGGAGAGCTTTCGATTTGCATATTCGATTCAAATCACTACTTCAATTAAGTCTTAATGACTTTTATTTACACACATCTTTTGTATTATAATATATACATAATTCGAGATTAATTTCAAATCAAAAGATGGGGATTATCCCCCTTCGTATCAAATTCTATCGAGAGAAACTGAGTGAGCGACCGCTCTCTTCCAAGTCCGTTTTTCGACTCCTCGTTGCCACTCGCAAAAGCGAAACTTTCGCTCATTTCGCATTCGAGTTGTAACATTTCTCTCACCTTTTGATTTTTGACAAAGTATGAAAAAATCAAAACAATTGTGAAATGAAAATTTAAATACGAATATAAGATGAGTAATTTAAATCTTACCAAAATCAACAATTTTATCTAGGCGTAACAGATATCTTGAATATTTTAAACTTACTTAATATTCTGCAAACTTACATTCGTTTAACAACAGGCAAAAAATTTCTTTTCAGAAAAAATACTAGTAAAGAGATTAATTCACTAAACTGGAAAATCAAATGTATACAAAATTTAAATTCAAAGAAGGAATAAAGAAAAACAAATAATAGTGGTACTGAAAACAAAATAAAACTAATTAAAGTTCTTGGCTTCACAATTTTTTGCCATATCACTAAACTGAATGTTTTATCAGAATTTTCAGTTCACGGTTTTTGGTATCAATTACTAAATCATTCCTTTTACCAGTATTTATTGGAGATGTGGATGATTCAGTAGTTTTAAGCTCGAAGATAGATTCTCTATTGTCTATCTCCATTGAAAATACTCTTTGAACTGGTCTTAACAGTTCACCACTAGTTGTTTTTACTTTCACCACTCTGATGTTGTTGTCTTTTCCTGGGTATGTTTCGATCACATGACCCATAGGCCAGTCTGTTCTTTTCCTTTTATCATCCTCTACAAACATTAAATCACCTTTCTTGATGGTTCGCAAAGGTGCAGTCTTTGGTCGATGTACTAACCTCCAAGATATTTCATCTCTAAATCTTTTACGAAATTCCACACGTAACTTTTGGTGGTATCCATATTTTCGATAATTCATTTTATCCAAACTGTCCAGACCGGGGAAACCTTCAGTTTGGCACATCCTGAATAAAATAGATGAAGTGAGTGCACATAAATCGGATGGAATCTTCTGACTCGTATGTTAATGGTTGGAGTTGATATTTGCTTATGCACACATAGGATAGTTAACATTTTTCATATGAAAGTAATGCTTTTTCCAGGACTCTTCTCAATAATTTCTTGATCATCTGAACCAGTCTCTCCCACCAGCTGCCCCACCATGCTGTGGTTGGTGGATTTAATTCCACTGAACTTCCATTATCGTAAACTTTCATTGTTTGGTTCCAGTCAATAGATTGGAGTAATTCCTTGCCCCTACAAAATTTGTGCCATTGTTGCTGTATACTACTCTAGGCCATCCTCTTCATGCTATGAATCTTCGAAATATCCGAGGAAGAATCCATTAGTTGATAAGCTTTCATTATTATTATTCTAAATGAACTACATGATAAACTCCACAGATAAAAAGCAAGATCCAAGCTTTTCTATTTTCTTTTAAATAAAGTAGTCCTGCTTCATCAACACCTGTGACCTTCAAATGCATAAGCATCTCTGACTCGATCTTCTGGGAGAGGAAAAGGCACTGTATCAAGAGCTTTCCCCGAGTGTCTCTTGCACGAACGCACTTCGATATGACTCCTTGTATGTTTTTCCTTTAATTATCCAAAAATTTGACGAATTGGTCAAAAGAACTTGAGTACCAGCACGTAAAAGTTGTAAATGTAGTCTTGTATCATTCTTTCTACTAATTCATGTTTGGCTAAAGTACAATGGGGTACCGAAGTTTGCATCATCATGTCTTTCAAAATCTTCGTTTTTCAGATTATAATCCCTTCTTCATCTCTGAAAGTAAAATGTCCCTTCAACGGTACTTCACTAGAGAATGTTTCTTGTTGAACAATCTTCACTAATTTCTTCTCAGCAATGTCCAATTCTTCAACACTCAGTGTTTTGCCATAATTTCTTCCTCCATGTTTACAATTATTCATGAATCTTAGAATCCAAGAAATCATTCTCACAATTTTAAAGTAACTTGAAAAGTAAATCAGATACTATTTTTCAGCGGTGATATTAGCCAAAGTCGAAATAATGTTCTTTCGCTTTTCTTTCATGATTTCTTCTTCGTTAGTAATCACTTCACTAGTTGGCCACTCTTCATCGTTCTTCATAAGCCATCTCGCCTTGCCACCAGCGAGATTTCACAAAAACTTAATCGAACACCCTCGTGATGGTATATCTGCTGGATTCGAATTTCCTGAAATGTGATGCCATTCAGATTCCGATGACAATTTTCGTATCTCTTTTACTCTATTTGTGACAAATGGCACCCAATTGTCATCTCTTTGGATCAAAGAAAGTGCAGTACTCAAATCTGTCCAATTGTTCCTTGGAACGTTGTCTAATTTGAGTGTTTGTAAAGCAAGAGCTGCGAGTCTGACTCCTATACAGCAGGATAATAATTCTAGACGATTTATGGTCATTTTTCTTAATGGACTCGCTCTACTTTTAGCTAGAAGAAAATACACCGATACATTTTCACTTGTTTCTTTTCTTAAATAAATCACACATCCATAGGCTTGTTTACTTGTGTCACAGAACGTATGAAGACTAAGACTTTCATTTTCATTTCCATTTATATTTAAAGCCCTTGGAATTCTAACACTGGATAAAAGTGACAAATCATCAGTCCATGAATAGAACTCTTTTCCTAAGTCTTCTGGTATATTTGTATCCCAACCAATTTTTAACAACCATGTCTTTTGTATGAGTAGTTTAGGTGTTAGTGTTATAGGGCAGAGAAAACCCATGGGGTCGAAAATGCGATGTACCGCAGACAATATATTTCTTCTAGTAAGATTCACTGGTTTGTAAGTAGCAGTCTTCACCTCACAGAAAAGGCTATCATCTTCCTTATCCCACAAAAATCCCAATGCAGGAGTATGTTCTATACTCTCTTCAGATTTCGAAAGAGAAGTGTGCTTCCACCCTCTCAGATCGAATGACGCAGAATCTAATATCTGTTTCGATTCCTCGATGAATCGCGTAAGTGTCTCTTCATCAGGAAACAGATGTAATGGCAATTATCTACGTAGAATGATTCCTTTAATTTTTCCGCTGTTTCAGGATATTTAGACGAATTTAGATCAATGTGAATGGCTTAATACAGCAGCCACTAAAAGGGGACTGCAATTCAATCCAAAAGCAACGCGTTGTATGTCTAAAAACTCTAAGTTCCTCCTTGTCAAAGTCTTACCACCATAAAAATCGTAAGAAATCTCGATCACTCTTATTCACTGACATTTGCAAAAAGGCCTTTCTTATGTCTGAAATAACTCCTATTCTATTCTTGCGAAATCTTATAATTATAGGAATAATTTGTTCCAGCAAATTTGGAACCTTTTCTGGGCAATCATTAAGTGAGTGCGAATTTTTGTCTTTACAGGAAGCATCAAAAACCGGTCGCAATTTCGTGGTCGAAGTTTCTTTGAATACTTCTTTATGTGGTAAATAGTGACACTGATTATTCATTTCGTGTTCAGGGATTTCCTCTATAATTCCTTCATTTAACCAATCTGTGAAAACATTTTCGTAATCCTCGAATTTGCCCTTTTGTATCAACTGGTGTGTCGTACTGTTTAAACGCTATCTAGCAATATCAAAATTTTGACTTAAACAGTCCTGTTCTATTACCCAAGGCAACTGAACCTCATATCTTCCCTCTTTAAAGGTAACAGTTTCATTAAAATGATTCAATATGGCAATTTCCATTTCCTTTCTACATTTTGTTTCAACAGGGTCTTGAATCCCCAATAAATCTAATTTCCAAAAATTTTCAATCTTCGATGTGTGAATTAATAAAAGAAGTCACTGCGACGGCATGAGTCACATTTTCCCCATCTTCAATACGATCAAATAGTTTTCACATTAAAATCCAACCCATTTTGGTTTCCATTGTAACTAGTGTTGAGTTTAAACGTTCAATTTTGTCTTTTTCTAATTTCCAATAATTATCAGCTCCAATGAGTAAAAATACGTTGTTGTTATCTGAAGATTCGTAATCAGCATCCGCTAAAATTATTCCCCTATCTTTTAACAATTCC